TCACATGGATGAAGGTGGTCAGGCTTTTACCAGAGGAGTTAAACCCTTCAGCTGTGGTCAGTGTGGGAAGAGGATCTGTGATGCTGAGATGGTTCCTCATCAGCTGTCGCCTGATGTATTTATTGTGTTTGTTCCAATCCGAATGTTGATAAATTAACCTAAAATCATCTCAAAGTTTGCACTGTTTCCAGATTTATTGGTTCTGACCTTTAGTTGTAACTTTTCTAGTGAAAAACAGACTTCATGAGACCAGAGTCAGTTTAAAGCTTCATGTTCTGTCCTGCATGTTGAACGTCACCGCCTCACTCATTAGCAGGAGGGTATTAAGTTTCATTAAAACAGAAACACACACACACACACACACACACACACACACACACATACACACACACACACACACACACACACACACACACACACACACACGGTGAGCTGGAGTAAAGCTACAGCTGGAGCAGCTGCAGAGGTTAGATCATCAGTTTGTTCAGCAGGCTGGTACCCCGTCCTGCGTCAGGAGGTGTTAGTAGTAACATTAGCGGGGGGGCGGGACGCGAGCGGGGCGTCACTGAGACCCAGAGCTCCAACATGTCACTGGCGCTGTTGATTTAGCCCCACCATGAAAACGCTGAGGAAATCAGGCCTTCTCTGCAGGAGAGCTGCACAGACCTTCCTATCCTCACTTCTTCTCCTGCATCTCTCACACCTCCTAATATACGACCAACAAGCAGGAATTTAATGAGCCCAGAGCTTCCCTCAACAGCCGGGGCATGAATCCCAGCACATAAGCAACTAAAAGTTATAGATGGGTTAAAACCATAAATCACTTGGCAAAAAACAGAAAAAGAAATACAAATATGTTTGGACAGATTTCTGGCTTTTTACTGCATCTCATCTGTTTAGTGGTTTAATTTTTTATGATTTTTTTTCCTTATTTTTGTTAATGTTTTGTTGTTGGGTTTAAAGTTTATTTTAAGTCCTGTTGATGTCTTTATGCCAGTTTTGGGGAACATCTGCTATCCTTTTTGTCAGTTTATTTATTGTTCAAGAAACCAAAGTTTAGAAGAGATGATCTGGAACAGGTGAGAGGATTTCAGTCTCAGATGTTCAGAACAACAACCAGTGAGATAAAACATGATCCAACCACAGAAGGAGTCTTCCAGGCCTGAGCTGGACAGTCGTTGTCTGGTCAGTTTAGTTTTGCAGCATTTCAACAAGACGCAGTAAAAACCTGGAACCTGAGCGGGTTCATCGGAAGGCGCCTGAACCCGCCTGAACCCGCCTGAACCCGCCTGCCCCGTTGATTTGTTTGAATATTCTGCCTCTACCATGCATGACATCTGATGCAGTTTTCTTACGTTTAAAAACCATAAGTACCAAAAAAGTCATTTTGTAACATTGTTTATTAATGTGTATTTAGATATTTCCTGAACAGTGCGATCATCTTTCAGTATAATCATAATGTGGAACAGAAACTCATCCGCTACAAACCGAGCTAACAGTGTAAGCAAGAAGAAACAAAATAGTACCTTTAACTTAAATGATTCAAAATCCTCACCGTGTTTCATTCTTCTGACGTTATTCAAACAGCTCAGTCTTCTTGTCTCACCTGACCCTTTTCTCAGGTGCTTCTTTCCCTCCCAGTTCATGGGGATGGAGAACCTGTGGGCAGAACCGCTGATGCTTCCAGCAGTTTCCACCCTCCATGGTTTCTAGGTTGTACCTGAACGATTTAGCAGTTTCCTTTCTGCTGAGGGTTCATTCGCTCTCCTTCCAGACCCTCATCAAACTGCAGAGGCATCGGAAGATCTGGAAGCAGCAGTGGTTCAGAAACAGCTCCAAAACACATGAATGTCCTTCAGGTTTAGGTGAAAGTTGCAGGTACAACCAGAACATCTGGAGCACAGAAGAAAGACTGAAGAGAAAAAGTTTAGCTTGTCATTTTCCACCTGCAGTAAACCAGCAGGAACTAAAGATGTGATTTCTGGTGACAGTACTGGGTTTATTTGATGATAGTTGAGTAGTAACTAGCTACATTTACTCAATTATATTTATTTCAGTAACTTTTTTCTACCCACTGGATGAAAAACAAAGATGTTTTAACCAAAAATTCACCAGGTTTTAACATAAACCTGCAGTTTTTGTTAAAGTTTCATAAGTTTTTTTATTGAAAGAAACTGATTTAGAAAAATTTTCTTCTCTGTCTTCTTTTTGCTACTTATATGAATTATTGTTATTTTCATCCTTAAATACCAAAATTTCCACTGAACTTTATACTTTAGTCAATCTGATTGTGTATTTTTTAAAGATTAAACTCTTGATTATTTGATCATTTACTCAGTAATTGTCTGACTTTTTAACAAATACTTTTTTACTCTTGAGTAATTTCGTGGACGGTGACTTTTTACTTTTACTTGAGTTAAAATTTGTTGACGTAGTGCTGCTCATTTGAGTGAAATGTTTGAGTTCTCTGCCCACCTCTGGATATCTGCATGTATTTGATCTGTAGACGTGTTTGTCCACCGCTTGGCGCCGATGGTTCTGTGAGATCTATAAAAGCTGTGACTGAACCTCTGGCACGTTCCAGGTCTGCTGGGTTTGTTCTGACTTCCTGGGAGGGTTCTTCAATGTCGGACCAAGGTCACTGATGAGGAATGGTGCGTTGAGGGCGAGGTCGCTGCGGGATGAACAACATCTGACTGACTGACTGCAGAGGAAACAGCAGCCCCGCTCAGTCGCGTCTCATAACTCACAGCCCAGGTCCAACTTCGATCCGACGCCGCTGATCTCATTTCCTCCAACATGAATGTTCAGACTTTTGGTCCAGAAAGCTCCACTTGACCTTCCAGTTTTCCTTTTCATGCCAGTTTCCTTCCCTGATGACTTTGTGTTTTCTGAGGAATCCTGTTATTCCAAACTGAATTTTCCTCTCAGCCGCGAGTCTCTAAACATGCTGTGTTGATCCGGCTGAGCAGTGATGTTCTGACCTTCCTGATTTTGACATGTTGCCTCCTACACGCAGATGCTTCCAGATGAGAAAAATAAAACCACAAAGTGATGAAGGAGAAGCTTAAACCTTCAGAAAACCACTGGGCTGCTCCTCATCTTCTCTATGGTTGTGGCAGCAGTGGAGCCGACGGTTGGCCTCCATGTACAACCTCTGATCAAGTCAATCAATCAGGTTTATTGGCCCATTTCAGCCACAGCTAAAAGTGCTTAACATAAATCATCATGCAGTTAACAGTTGTGAAGCCGGAAACAGGCGTTACATTCAAGTATCATTGTTAAAATCATTAATACACATCAAATATGTTGGACAATATTCCATTTGTTATGGTTCAAAAGCAAACAGGTGGGTTTTAGTCTTCGTTTACAGAAACTCTGTGCTTCAGTTGTTTTACAAATGAAACACCGTTAGGAAAACGTGTAAAGGTCAGAAACATTTATTTTTTCAGCATCATTTCTAGTTTAACGGGTCCAGAATGACACAGATGTCCCTGGGTCTACTGGCGTCTTCAGAGGAAAGAACTGCTATATGGAGCTAAATTGGGGCCACAAAGTTTGTTGAAAAGAAATAAATTAATTAATTAAACACTCTGCTCAGCTTCTTCTCGTCTAGGAAATGAAGTCTGGATCAATCTGCTTACCTTAAAACATCCAAGAGAAGCGCATTCTTATTTTGGATGTTTGCTGTTTTAGAAGGTCCATTAAGAGCCTTTCCAACCAGTAACAACATTATATATCCAGAGAAGTGAAGCTAGAACTGGAGTTGTAGATGTTCCTGATTTCTACTTCCTGTTAAAAACATGAGCAGCATTTTGTATGAACTGGAAGCAGTGAAGTGATGATTGATCTTAACCCAGATAATGAGAAATACAATAAATAAAGGTGAGATGATGTAAAAATTTGGATATTTTTAAAAATCTTGTAGAAGAAAACAAAGCTTTAGCAAGAAGTTAAATGTTCATCTTGACAAGTGATTTGTGAGTTTAAAGAATCTGCCAAGATGACAGAAAGGACTCAAAAATGATCTGATCTCCCAAATACCATAACTTCCTTTTTATTATTGTTGAGGTGGAGAAAGTTTGAGTTTATGTATGAGCAAGACAGTCCAATAACAACTTAAAACTGTTGTTTTTCATGAATGAGCAGATAGATTTGAATTTCATCAGACAAGGAGCAGAAGGAGACATTATATTTCCCAAAAATAGACCCTGGGGACAACATGTATACGGAAAATAAGACTGGGCCAAGGAAAATCCTTGAGGAACTCCACAAGCGAGAGGTGCTGAATGTCATCTCATTTTTTGAAAAACAACTTCAGATTTCAGTATGAAGCAGATATTTGGTATTATAGTTTGTTGTTGACAGCAAAAGAGCAATTTAAGAGACAGAAAAAACCAACAAACTAAAAAAATGATGAGATGATAATAAGGGGTGCTGATATATTTAGTATGTTTACAGCACTCTAGGAAGAATAACATAATAAATCATCATTCCGTTTTTATTTATATTTTCCACAACATCCAGGCATTTTTGGAATGGGTGCTCCGTGTTATTTCCAGTGAGTCATGTTTCTCCTTCCAGCTTGATGCAGCTGTAGAAGGTGCTCTGACTCAATGCAGCACATTTGTAAATCAAAATGAGCATGCCAATAAATTTTTAACATTTTAGTTGTGAATCATTAGAACCTGTGAGTCATGTACGGAGAGAAGACGCCAAAAGACCCAGAACCCAGGACCGTCTTGTTGCAATTGTGTCTCCAGGTGCTCAAGGTACAGCGCTGTAAATCTGGAATTATTCATAAAAAGTAATTGTGGCACTTTGAGTTTTCCATATTAACTTTCTAAGCAGCAGCTGTGCTGTCTAAATAGTTCACCAGATGTATAAAATTACACAGGAAGTTTAATCCTCACTGAAAGTGGATTATAAATTTATTAGCACAAATAAACTACAAATTACACCACACCCTCTGCTGTTATTAAACCAAGCGGACCTTTCGTTCGTTCCGCGGCGTTCCGGTCGGACAGTATTCGCTGCCGGATAGATTCCGTTGACATTGCTGGGACAGGTGTTACCCAACCAGAAGGTGTGCTCGCAGGTAGCCGCAGAGAAGCAGCCCGGTCCTCCTCGGCCCTCACACCGGTACCTGCTGCAGTCATGTACCGGCGGCCGCTGCAGGTCGCCGCCAGGTGCGCCGTGAGAGCGGCGGCGTCCAGAGGCGCCTGCGCGAAGGTAGGAGCTAAAAGTTAGCTTGTTGCTAACTCCGGAACCAGCTTAAAAATCCGGATCATTTAAATCCAGAGAGGCAGAATCTGAGGGGTTCGGTTGGTTCTGATGAGACGAAGCATCAGAGAGGAACAGATGTGTCAGGTTTACAGGATTAAATACCTGATGGGATCATTTATTCTGACTCACTTGCTGATAGATTGAAATATTCAGTTTATTTTTCTGGAAGCTAAATATGAGACAGAAATGTTTCTTCTGGAAATAATTTCTCCTCTAGAGTCTGAAAATGAAAATAACAGGAAGGTAATAAATAGGAGAAATGTTTACATTTAAATGTTTTAATTTTTAAAACTTTGTTGGGGTTTTGGATCCTTTTTATTTTAATTTCCATACAAGTCAGAATATAAAGATATATTATAACATATGTAATTTCCATAAGAATAAAAAAAGCATTTTATCAGACAACTGATGCAAACTTGCTCTCTGTGTAAATGGGCTCATTGAAAACGCCTACAATTGCAATAATAAGATATTTTTATTAATTTAAAGCATTCATAAATTATTTTTTTCTTTATAGAAAAACAAAGTATAATTGTTAAAGGTAATTATAACCCTCTATATTTACACGTGAATTAAATAAATAATTTCTTAAATTTTAAGTTGGTAAATAATCAGTTTTTATGCACATTTTGTACATTTTTAAATGATCAGTATTTTCTCATGCTGTAAATTTGTCCCTACTTACAATGAAACCTCACTTTTACACCAAGTTCACACTGAAAGGACTAAAATTAACTCAGAGTTTTAATGGTCAATATACTGAGAAATATGTTATTTGGTATGAATCTGGTTTTTAAGCAGCTTCATGACTCAAACTATTTTTCTGATCCAAGTGAGTTTCAGGAACAAATGGCTTCCAGAAGCTTTAGGTTAAAACTAAATAAAATATTTCTGACAAAATTTGTGTGAATTTTTAGGTTTTATAGATGTCACCAGGAAGTTTTCAGTTAAAGTTATTTATAAAAATATTTTTTCTCACCATTGGTTTGGATGAATTTGGTATTTTTAACTATTTATGGGTTTATTGTTCTGGAAAATGCTGCAATATTTGAGAGATCCAAACCTGGTGCTGATTGGTGAACATGTAAGCCAGAACACTGTGACCTCTGACCTTCAGTGAAACCTGGTTTTAGGACAATGTAAACATTTCTATAATAATTTTTTTATTCTATAATAAACATTTTTTGCCTTCTTGTCATTCTGCAGAACCATAACTGAATTTTCCTCAGATATTGAACTGCAGCTCTGAAGTTCATCACTGAACAAATGCAGCATATTAACTTTTATGTTGCATATGTATCTGAATTTTAGGGAGAAATGGTAAATATAATTTTTTTCCTCCCAGCTGCTGGAGCAGGATTGGTGTCTGAGAGCTTCGGCCGCCGGCCAGCTGAGCAGATCCAGCTGTTTGACGCAGAGTCGGGTTCTGCACATCAGCACTGAGGTAATGAAGCATCAGGAGTCTGACCAACAACGCGCTCATCCAGACGTCCCTGCAGCGTGCAGGTCGGGTAGCGGATGCAGGTTCACTCTGAGCCACAGAACAGTTTATCTCAGCTTCCTCTGATGCTAACGCAGCTAATGATGATCAAGATGAAGAGGAAATAAAATATTTTGGCGATTGTCATCAAGAGATTTTTTTCTAATCGTTAAACTTGCAGAAGCCTTATAAAAACAATTTTATTTACATCAGAAAAGAAGAACAAAATGTTAATATTACTTAAGAAATTAACTCAAACTATGCATCTTTTTTTTTTTTTTATTAATTACATTTACTTTGTATTTCTGCTGAGTTTGTGAATCAAAACGTTGATCAATCTTTGCTATAGAAAATCAAATCTTTCCTGGATGTTAGTTTTTTTCCTGACATCTTGACCAGCAGAGGTGGGAAAAGTACTTAAGAGCAACACTACTTCAACTTATTTTACTCAAGTAAATGTAAAAAGAAATTACTTGAGAGTAAAAAGGTATTTGGTAAAAAGTTGACTCAAGTACTGAGTAACTGATGGAATGATCAACCATTTAATATTTAAAAATTACATAATTTTTGAAATTTTTAAAATTACCTCAGCTTCTTTCCAAGCCGAAAACACATGAATATTTCCTGAGGTTATTCTCTCTTTTGGTGGACTATTTATGGTGAAATGAAATGTTTTCCTTGGAGTTTTTTGGTGTCGAACACTTTGATCAGAAGTAATCGATGTGGGTTTGCAGCTCTGCAGCGTGAAGGAGACGCCTCAGCACTCCCAGGAGGAAGTCGGCGCCTTCACCAAACTCATCGAGGCCATGGGCTTCACCGCCCCGCTCAAATACAACAAATGGGTGAGTTGGAGGGTTTGGATGGAGTTCTGGTTCTTTAGGTTTGGATGAAGGGCAGAAAGACAGAAATGTTGGCGGTTTTAACCCAGAGAAAACGTGTTTATATGTCCTGATCCGTGTCCTTCAGGGTGAGACGTGATGTTGGACCAAAACCGTTTCCTGATTTAAACTGAAACTACAGAAACTGAAACGTTTGAAATCACTTCAAAACACAAATTCTTACCAATACTTTTTGTCTAGTTTCTAGTGCAAATGTTTTAAAACTCCTAAAAAATACAAAACTAACTTTTCATTAAGATACAGGAGCCTATTTTAAGTAGAGATGCACCAATCTACTCTTCTCAGTCTGATATCTGAGGTTTATTAACGGATAGAACTGATCTAATGCTGAAAAACAGATGAATTTACTTAAAACATTTCTTGTTTTTTTTTTTAAAGACAGATTTACTTACTTGATAACTCTGCACCAGTACAGCTCTTTGAAATACACCAGTAACTTCACAAGTTTGGTCAAACATATAAAAACAACTTAAAGTTTTTCAGTCAGTGCAGTTAGGAGTAAAACAGCAAATGGAAAATAAATAAGAAAGAAACTGAAACCGATTAAAACAATTAGTACGTTGGTGAAACATGTAAAAAATAAACTTTCTTCCAAATGGTTCAGAAAGTGCAATTAGGAGCTCTAAATATAATGTAAAATAAATAATAAAGTAAGGGAAGCTCAGGGCACAAAACATAGAATTAGAATGAATAGATGCGCCTGTATGGCTGCAGCACATTGTGACTGTTACCAGATCTAGAATGTTTTCAGCATCGGATCAGAAACGGATGTTAATTTCGGGTTTATCGAGTTTTAAGTTAGTTCTTCAATACTGATTCCAAAGGTCTTGGTTCCAGATGTTTCTCTCTTCTAGGGAAAATTGTCTTGTTTTCTGCACTTTCTAACTTGTTCTTAGGAATAAATTTTTTGCAGCAAATTAAAACTTCAAGTTTTAGCATCTCTTTAAAGTTTTTAACTTTTTTGCCTTGACAGAAAATCAAGATCGCCGCGCTGCGCATGTACACGTGTTGCGTGGAGAGAATAAACTACGACGAGTTCTTTGACAGTAAGTCTGAGTCCTACATTTCCCACAATGCAGCAGAAGGATCCAGCTGTTTTCCGGCTTGTTGTTGTAGTAAATGGTGGTTCTGTTTGGTCCAGAATGCTCCCTGCCGGACACTCTGAACTCCTGGTTCCTGGTCGCTCAGCTGCATGTCTGGTGAGTCTGCTGCTTTACATGCCGTCCTGTTTGTGTTATTGATTTGTTCAAACAGTAATTTGCTGCGTTGCATCGCGGGTGGAGGATGTGAGGAGAGGAAATGGAACTGCTGTGTAAGCAGTCTTCACCCATTTCAAAATAAGAGCATGAATAAAAAGATCTAAAACCAAAACTTCAACACAGATGAACTTTATTCAACTAAAACAGAACTAACAACCAGTAAAGTTAAGAATCTATCCAGAAAAATTAACTTGGGAGAGTTTAAGTCTGCTAAGCATTTTCAAAGTTAGCTAAATTGATAAGCTAAAAGTTAGCTCAGTTGTTAGCAGACGTTTCCCACCATTTTATTTCAAAGCTGAACATCAGCTTAGATGGATTTTGGAAGTGATTAGATTTACAGATTTTGGTGTAATGGATGCAGTTTGGACTTTTCTTGCCCTCCAACAGAACCAGTCACAATATCTGTAATAAAAGACGGAAGTTTTTTCTTGGTAAATTGTAGTTTAGATGATCTGAATCTAAAACGGTTCAACTGAGTTACAAAAAGTAGACAGAGGGACGAATGAGGGAAGGAACAGTGGTGAGGTGGTTCAGTGCTGGTGGGTTTAAATCCGACTCCTGACTGAAGGTTCATATAAAGCATCTAAATCCTCCTGATTGGACCAATTTATTTAAAAAGCAAACTTCCTGTCTGTGCTCCCTGTTTGTCGTCTGGCAGGATGTGTTTGGTGCGGATGCGTCAGGAGGGCAGAGAGGGGAAGTTCATGTGCCGTTACATCGTCCACTCCATGTGGGAAGACGTGGAGCAGAGGAGCAAGATCATGGGGGTGAGTCGGGTTTGGTGCCGGTCAATCGATTGTTTACATCGATTGACCGAATCTTCGCTCAACAGAAGATCTTCGCTCAACAGAAGATTACATTTTTAAAAATTTTGTTCAGTTATTGTTCAACAACCAACTGACTCAAGAGTTTTCTTCTAACTTTTTCTGTCGCCATTTTGCGTTTTTATTTTTTCCGGTTAAATATTTTTTCAGTTTGAGTTTCCGTTATTTTGTTTTAGTTGCCTATATTAACCTCGGTTGAAAGACGGTTTTAAAGGAACTCGCTGATGTTGGACAGTTTTCTTTTGATCAGCTCTGCGACTTTAAGCATCCGTGAAGAATCAAAGATCCAAACAAGAGTTGTTTTCTGGAATAAACGTCCCTTATTTTAGTGCCTTGGCTGCAAGCCGTGCCGCTGCATCCTGCAGAGCGACGCAGGTTGTACATCAGCATAACTTAGCCAACAGGCAGGAAGTGCAGCCAGGTCCCAGGAGAGTGCGGCCGGCTGCGGCTGGCTGCGGTCGCCACGGCCACAGAGTTGCTCCTCTATTCTCCGTCAGTGGAGCAGCTCCAGGAAACGTCGCTGGTTGGCATGGAGCGCCGGACTCTGGCTCACAGAGAGACTCCTGCAAGGCCGATTACTGCACAGCAGAAATTACAGGTTTCACTCTAAAAAGTCAACTCTGTTCAGGAGTCACAACAAAGAATGTTAATGTGGGTCTGCAGGATGTTTCAGGGTCACTTTAGGAAAAACAACTGCAGCTCTGAAAGCCTCAACAAGCGTGAAAAGCTGTTCTAACCGGTGGCTCCACGCTGCTCAAACAGACCTGGTGCTGACCTGCATCCATCACGCGTCCAGAAATCTGTCCGCTCCAGTCAAACATCAGCGCCGCTTCCCTGGGGGAGTTACTGGGTTGGAAGAGACGGGCCGCCTTGGGAGAAAATATTTTAGTTAACTGCAATCTGTGGGAATTAATTTCAGCTAGAAACGTTTTTATCTGCATTGATTCCCCAACAACGGGACAGTGAGCTAATGCAACTCAAATATATATTTTCTTCCTTTTTTGCCCTTATGTGACCCATTTCTGGCCCAATTCCAATCTGTCCACCCTCTAAAAAACTCTGATCCGAGTCACTTCCATATGTACAGAAGAAGAATTTATTCTATTGAAAATTGCAATTCCTACTCCTGGCAATTCTGAATTGATTAAAAACACTCAAAAAGTGATTTTAGACTGTTCAATTTATTTGTAAAATTATATTTTGAATAATTCTTAACATTCTTTAGAAATCCTCCAACAGCTAAAATCTGACGCCTCCATCTTGTTTCCATCTGGTGAAGAAGGAAGTTGCTCTCAGTGTCTTCAGAGGTTTTTGTGTCGTTTCCTTCAGTGGATCTTGGTGCAGCGCCCCCACAGGCCAGGAGGGGAACATGTTTTTGAATTAATTTGACTCAGAGCAGAGAGAGAGTAAACCGCAACAGCTTTAGATATAAAAAATGTTGGAAGTTTGGTCCTCAGTCGAGTCCAGCGCACCATGAGGTCTGAAAACACCTGATACCTGGACGGCTCCAAGCCGGGCTGGTTATCACACTGAAAAGCTTCGTTTCAATTCAGAAATCACAAAGGGAAATAGTCTGATTCTTCTCCTGGCCTCCACATGTCCAAACTCAATCCATCCTTTAGTTTCTGCCCTTATTTAAATCAGTTTATTTAAAATCTGTTGTTTTTTTTAATCTAAACCTCAGTTTTTATTTCTGCATGCATAAAAGTAAAGTAGAAAACTCTTGAATTTGACATTTTTCTTCAGACATTTGGACTCTAATTTAAATTGGATGCTGTTGTTTTAACAGCGCCATCATCAGGTCAGAAATAACCAGAGTTTACTCCTACAGGTTGGCATTTATCATGTATTGTGATTATTTGTTGTGAAAAATTCCTTATAAGAGTTTTAATTTTTAATGGACCCAGCTCGGTGTTTGTCTGTGCAGAACTGACCTGTGGTTCTGTTTGTGCTGCAGATCGATGCCATCCACAGGAAGGAGGCCATGAAAGCCATGACTGAAACCTTCTACGCTGCCATATTTGGATATGATGAGGTCAGAAGAAAGCAGGACCTTTTTTTAGAAAACATGAAATCAATCCCAGATCTTTGGGTTTTTAACGCCTGGAGAGCGTCCAGACATTGGTCCTGGTTTGAGGCGAAGACCTGAGGAGTGTTTCTGTGTTTCTGCAGGGAATCCTGTCTGATGACTGCGTCCTGGCTGCAGCTCTGTGGAGGAACCTGTTCAACTGTCAGTGTGACGACCCCCAGCAGCTGGAGCTCATGGTGGAGTACGTTCGCAAACAGGTGTGTTGGTTACTCAGTCACACTTCCTGCCAAAAATGATATCAATATGATGATATCACAGATGATGTTACACATTTTACTGAATTTTACTTTCACTGTGAAAAAAGTCAACAGAATAAAAAAGATATTAATTTATACAAAATCACACCATACATTTAGTGGATCAGAGAAAACCTAAAATAAAAGGTCTGAAATCAGCTACCAAATACAAGCAAAACTACACGCATGAAAATCTGCTGTGGTTCGATAGAACATTAGTTTTAAAAGATGTTAAAAAGTGTTTCTCCCTCATGTTTCTCTTAAGTCTGTGCAAAACTAAAAATCTTGTCCAAGTTCCCAATGGCAGCGGTCATTGGTGGCCGTGCTAGTTAGTCTGAGAAATCATGGCAGGTTCTGCTGTTGGGAATAAGCTACAGTAACTGTTAGACCAAACCAAAGTCTGCTGGTGTCTCATCATCTGGGTTTGGTTCTACAGCTACAAAAACTAAAGTTCCTCAAACCACCTGGGATCCGTCAGCTTTTGGGTCTTCCAGTTGACATTGTGAAAGGCCTTGGTGACCTTTGACCAAAGCTCAGGGAAGGTAGATTAGCAACAGAGGTCCTAAAAAAGGGCTCATCTTCTCTGCATCAGTCACTGCTTTACTTTGGTGGACAAGCATGACTGCCGTTGGCCTACAGTTTCCTCTAAAACTTTCTCCATTGTCAAATCTAACTCCAGCTGGCTAAACTGGGGCAGAACTGGTCTGGTTCTGCCCCAGTTTACAGCGTCTCCATTAGAGTCTGTTCCTCAGTTTTGTGGGCGTCGTTCACACTCCGTTTGCAGCGACACAGAGCCGCATCGTTTCTCGCTTCATTTCATTCCTGTTCTTCAGATAAATGTGCTGCTGGAAAGTCACGGTCACTTCGCTCCAAAGGTCATTCAGGTGGACATGGCGGTACTGCAGACGCTATGCCCACCTGTCCGCTGCAGTGGTTTGAGGAGTTGGCCAGGTCTGGCCCTCACTCAGGCAGTGACATAAATTAAGCCATGGTGCAATACGTGGCTTGTTTTACCTCTGAAATGGGTACGAAAAATGTGGAAGAGATGCAGAGAGTCTGCTGATGGAGATGAATCTGGCTGGCGGGCTGCAGTAGAACCATTAAAGACATGTCTGTTTTTCTGGTCTCTGAGGAAGGTCACTGTGTAGTGAAACCAGAAAGAAATGAGTCACCTGAAGAACCAACTGGACCTCGTTTGCCTCCACATGGAGGGAAACGAGGTCCAGTGAGATGACTGTAAGGTTGGGGTTGGCCACGTTGGGTTTCGACTTCATGGTGGGACATTTTCTCTCGGCTTTTCATTTCCATATCAGTGGTTCACAGATAAAAAGTGCCTCCTCATTCAAGTGTATATTAATGTGATGGAAAACCATTAATATTCTCTGTGCTGACTCTCCAAGTCATGGGAATTATAGAACAATCATTTAAAATGCATTTTCCCGGCATGTTGTCGTTGCTCTGAGGGTAAATGTTCCTCCTGCTCCTCAGATGCAGTTCATCGACGCTCTGGACGGAGAGGACCTGCTGCTCACAGGAGAGGTGAAGTGGCGCCCCCTGGTGGAGGAGAATGCTCAGAGCATCCTGAAGGTGGTCAGTCCCACGTACAATGACGCGGGGCTGTGACATGAACGCCTCTCCTCTCTGAAACCGTGAAACACTTCCTGCTTCTCCTCAGATCAGACACCTCAGTCGCTGTAGCTCCTCTTTCTTGCTCCAGGTTTTCTGTAATAATGAAGTGTGTGTGGAGGTCCAGTAAAGCAGCAGAGACAATCGTGGAATAGGATTCAGACACATTCAGGTGTCCCCGTGTGTCTGTCGTCCTGTCAGGTCTGAGAGCAGCTTCTGTACGTAAACACACTCTGTTTATATTTCTACTGAATGCGGCTCTGTATTTATAAAGTATTTTTGAATCTGTGTTTCCTCTGTGTTTAAATAACCTGCTTGTTCCCTTGATGCTCTCAGACCTGAACAGGATGCAAAACTCAGACTTAAACATCATCAGTAGTTTTAAAAAAAAAGATGGTTAATAAAGTTTTCTTTTCAAACTGAGTTTTTTTTTTTCTTCTGCTTTTTCTGATCTTCTGTTCACTGGAAGCATCAATCTTTATGCATTTATACATCCACCAATATAAAATCCAGCTCTCCTTTGCAGAACTCACTGGACTAAGGCAGCTACTGTGGTATTTGAAATCGGGTTATTATTACCACTGTATCTGGTTTAGGACCAGCGTTAGTATTTGACTGAAGCAACCTTATGTTGGACCAAGGCGTTCTCCTTAAGCTGAGTTCAACAGGTGGCTTTTTTTCTTTTTTGAGGAAATGTTGGCCCATTTATTTGCTATGTAACTCAGAACATAAAATCAGGTCAAATCAAAAAGCTCCAAAAAGCCAAACTATAAACTATAATCTGCTTTTTCAGAAACTGTTTCTCAGTGGAAAAAAATTTGGAAAACTCTGAGGACAAACAAACGAATGACGGAGGCAGAATCAATCAATCCTTATTTCAGAACTTTTCATAGTTATTTAGAAAAGACTGTCACAGTGAAGACATTCTGGTGCAACAGATTCATTCATAAAAACAGTTTAAAAACAGATCATACTCTACAGTGTTTGCAACACAAATTGGTTTCCAGTAATGAGAGACGACAAACTCAAAATAATCAAATCATAAAACCCCCAGATGATCAGATTATCTTCAGTTTCAATCTGACCAATACGGTTTATTTGTAGTTTGTGTTCTTCAAACATCAGAGCTGCTGTTTGGTCAATGAGATTTTCATTGGCAGGATTTTTATTTTGTCCTCAGTGGTGAAGAGAGGAAACGTCTTGTCAGTGAAGGTGCGAGTGAGGGTGTGAATGTGTGTGTTAGTATCCAAATCGAAGAACGACAACTTTCCTCCGTCATAGTCCAGATTCACTCTGATCCTCTGTATCTTTTGCTGGACCGAGAGAACTGTGAAAGGAGCTGGTACGCACACTGCTGAGTATTCACCATCATAGAAGCAGACACCCAACCATCCATCCCTTATGAATTTCTTTCTCTGGACAGACTCTGCCAACATGCCAAGGATCCAGTCTTCACTGTCTACAACCTCAACATCCCAGCTGTGGATCCCTGAGTTAAAACCCTCAGAGCTCAGAACAGAACAACTATGATCAAACCTCTCTGGATTTTCAGGAAACTTCTGTCTCTCTGCCAAAGTCACACTGGTCAGATCTTCAGACAGGATGACCTTTGACCCAGCGGTGTTTGGGTCCAGAACCAGAGGAGTGTAGGTCACCATGCCCTTCATGTTGCTCCAGATGTTGAAGGCCAGGTTGCCCAGATGTTTGGCCTGGTCTATCAGAGCTCCTGAGGGCAGCTGTGGATCCTCCAGCAGGGGGCAGCGCTGGACTCTTTCCACTGCAGCCTTGTAGTTGTGCAGGAATGAGACGTCTGCAGCTCTCAGCTCCTCCTCTGTGGCTCTGACTGTGTCTGAAAGAGCTGCTATCTCTCTGCTCAGAGCCTCCATCTTCTCCTTCATCATCCCTCTCTTCTGCTCCTCTTCCTCCCTCAGTGCAGCCAGCCTGGCCTCCTCTTCCTCTGTCAGAAACTGATGAAGCTTCTTAAACTGCTCAACAATCTGCCTCTCTGTGTGTCGGGCCTGGACCTTCAGGTGTTCTGCTGTCTGATCAAACTCCTCTTTAACTTCCTTCTTCATCTCCAGGTTCTTCTTTAAAGGCTCCAGAGATGTTTTCAGTTTCTCTCTGTGTTGCTGAGCAGCTTCATCGATGGGCCTGAATCTGTGCTTGGAGTGTTTTTCTGAATCTCTGCAGACGAGACAAACTGGCTGCTGATGGTCCAGACAGAAGAGTTTGAGTTTCTCAGAGTGCAGAGAGCAGAGATCCGTTGGGATTCTCTGGTCTCTCTGCTGTAGGAATGATTCACACAGGTTCTTCAGAGCCAGATTTAAAGTCAGTTCCTCTCTTGAAGATCTCCTCTTACAAACTGGACACTCTCTTGCTGGTTCCTCTCTCCACCAGTTCTTCAGACACTCCTTACAGAAGCTGTGGCTACATGACAGAACAACCGGATCCGTAAAGACGTCCTGACAGACCGGACAGCAGAGATCCTCCTCTGATCTGGAAGCCATTTTGTCTCTGAGTGAAGCTGAAAACACAGAAGGTCCAGTCAGTCTCGGCTCCCTCCCTCCTCTACTAACTTCCCTCAAAGTGACTCTGAGTGTTTTGGTCCAACTCACCTTCAGTGTGAGCAGCTTGAAGCAGCAGAGCTGGAGGTTTCCACTTTTCCCTCCTGCAGCTGGACTCACTCAGAGGAAGCTGCTAGTTTGGTCTGAAGGTG